GGACTGGCTTGAATCTTCAGGTTCAAGGCCTCCGCTGCTGACTCCGCGATCACGCTCACATCTGCTTCGGTATCCACCTTCGCCGCCCATTCTTGCCCATTCACGAGTACTGCCCTCAAGCCCTTGTCTTCATCCAGGCCGAAGGGACCGATCGGTTCGAATTTCACGGTTGGTTCCGCCGAAATGCTCCTAACCTCACGACAATCCCGAGCGAAATGCCCCGGAAGATTGCATTTGTAGCAAGTCATCGGCCTTCTCCCCGACGGCGCCATCGGTGTCGTCCGCTCCGCTCTTGGGTATGACGTTCGCTCGGCGGTTCCCCTCGGTCTCGCGGCTGTCAAGCCTACCTCGGGTCCTATCAATGCCGGCACCGGTTGTCGCCAATCGCTCGTCCCTGCAACCCCTCCGTACTGCGGAGCTCTGCCCAGCATAGCGGGGGTTTGCGGTTGGTAGCAGTACGTTTCCGGTCTTCCCCTCGGTTGGGTTGGGTGCCCGCGGCTGTCTCTTGGATCGATCCGTCTTTCCGGGCATGCCGTTTTTCACGGTGACCCTCCCGCTTGCAATTATAGCACGTCGGGCCCTCCGCCAGTCGCCCCTCGACTTCTGCCCTTAACGTGGAGCGCTTATCATGTTGCGCCATTGCCGCGTTGATATCTCGAATAAGTTCAGTAATGTCCTCGTGGTCTCTCAACTCCAGCGAGCAGATCATGAACGAATACTCCGGGAGCAATCCCGTGAGTATAACTCCCTTGATCCCTTAGGGTTGAGTCCATCTGCCTTCTCGTCTTGCCCGGTTCAACTCTTCCCACCATGCGTCAGCCACTGCCTTTGTACCTCCAGAGAATGGTCGAAGATAAGCGGCCGGATCCATCTGTCTGCTCGTCATCCACGTGATCGGAACCTCCTCCTGTGCCATCTTGATTCTCAGCTCACTCTTCCACACACTCAAGTTTCCAGTCACCCCAGCAGACACGAGTCTCGCACGAGGCCCCTCACTATAGTTCAATTTTCCCCTCGGCTCGCTGCTCAATCCCACCGCTGTTATAATAGAGATAGAGAGAGAAAAAAACGTTAAGCTGATACACGAAACTCTCAAGATCGTGAATCTTGGCCTCTGGGTGGATGCTGTCGGCATTATGGATTACACGGAAGGCCAATGTGTCGCGGTAACGAATCTACAAGTCAAAGAGTTCTCCGAAAAAAAAATCCTGAATTCTTCGTCGAGCACAGTCGTCGACCGCAAGTTTTCAAATGAAGATACGGAATATCTCAAAGTTTGGTTGATCAGTCTATCATGCCTCAGAGAGGTCAGTGGAAGTTCATCGTGCAACCGAAGTTGTCAGCGACACTCGAACTAGGATCCATCGGGGAAGCCGTTAAAGGCCAAGTGCAGTCGAAGACCGGAATCCGGGACTGCAAGAAAAAAAACGAAAAGGGTATAAAAAAAGGCACCATCCTTTCGTTCATCTTGGCCACCACAACCTTCTAGTATGGCGATGTTTCTGCGGAACCATTTCGAGAAGATACGGTAAAAACTGATCTCCTATGAGTAGAGGACACAAGGTCGAGGACTCTCAATGATGACGACTGACCGATCACGATCACATCGAACCGATTCAAATCGAATAGCCAGGCAAGGAAGACCTGAAGTCCAGGATCAGCATGTCGGAGCAAAGTCCGGCACGAGAGAAGGGGATATCCTGAGTGAGGCTGCCGAGAACTTGATCATTCTATAGATAACCGAGAGGTCAATAAAAGTTCAACAGTTGATCAAGATTATCACCGTTCCCGAAATACTCGACGCGGAAAGTATTAAAATGATCGGAGATATCGGAAAAAAAATCTTATGTTTCACGATAGTATTTCAAGGAAGAAGCAAAACGCAGAGCTGATTGACGACATTCTCAGATTCATAAATCTTTACCTCTGGGTGAATACCGTTGGCGTATATAATAATAATAACATTATTAAAATGATTACACAATAACTTCAGACGTTTTCACGCAACTATGCGGTAGTAGCTCGCTACTACCTTCGGCTTTTTTTCCTGTTGATGACACACTGGTGGGGTACTCGGCTCGAGTAGCAGAGAATCCCCTCAAACTCAGGAGCTCGGTCGAATCGCATTGTGAAAGTAGATTCTCGCGATTTCCTCCGAAATCGAAGAAGGCGGCGTTTGGTGAGTGTTTGAAAAGAACTTTCGTTCCAACTGTCCCCACACGTTCTAATCCACTAAGGACCTGGCCGTGTCCGCGGAAAAGCCACAAGGAGCAGGCTTTTCAAATCTGCCACACTTATAGATGAGTGGGCGGGAAATCTAGGAGTCCAGTCAGGAGGCCATTGTTGGAAGCTAACTGGACGTCGCATTGAGATTTTCGATTCTTCTCAGTGCACCGAGGCTTCTGTGACTTCGTACCTACCATTGGCTTGCGCCGCGTTGTGGCGGTCTCTCCGAATGGGGAACAAAATCACTCGCGGCGAAACTGTGGAATTATTCTCCGCGGATATTGTGAGCGAATTTTCTCGCTTATCACCACGCGACAGAATCATCCAAATGGGTGTGAGGGGATGGAACTGGAATTAAAATGCTGTCCGGTGCCGGGTCGGCTCACAAATAGGGGATTGTACGATGAGCTACGTCCGCTCCCATGCACCCGTCAGATTCACCGCCATGTAGTCTCACAGTCGGAACGGATGGGTCCAGCCTTCTTAATATGTTCTCACGTCCAGCAAGGATGATAGAATTGAAATTTGTTTATTACATCCAAGGTTGGATAGATCAGCAAGGATGATAGAGAGACTTGCTATGGGATCTCGGAAGTCCCTGTCGTTCCTCCGGGAGCACCACGAGGCGCCGGAGAATCCCTTTCAGGTCGAACTGCTCCACCCGTAGGAAGGGATTGACGGCGCAAGACGATACGCGACCGTTGCGAAAAGACGTGCGAATCTCAACAACTATTCGAGAAGCCCGGGAGTGTCTTTATAACCTTCCCCCCCCCTCATGGATATACCTAGTTCCAGCTTTTTCCGATACCGTTCCAAGCATTGGACTTCCTACGAGGCATCTGAGTGGAGTCCGCAACATTTGTAATGCGCATCCCGCTTTGTACATCGGGACACGAATCGTTATCGGGAGTTGCTCTGCTATCTGCACCGTTGGTTACCGAAGCGAATTCCTGATGTTTTGAAAGAGTGATTCCCTAATGGACAATCCTTGTAAGAAATATCGACAATGGCCGTCCATTCTGTTTGGCACAGGTTCAGCAGCATGTTCGCAAAGAAGCTCCTATCGAAAAGATAGACGGCCATCTCCTCCAGTGCCGCAGCTTCTCCACCCGAACGCCTTGTACGACTCTCACTGTCGGACTCTGCTCAACCTATTCCCCCGAATAGATTTATGCGACATGTGTCCCATAATCACGGAGAAGTGGTGGAGGGCTACGAGTAGAGCTCCGATTCCACCCGGTATTATTTCGGCGAAGACCGGACGCGGGTCCGGTTCCAGCGTGAGCTGGGCAAAACCGGACTCGGAGGAGAACTCTTGTGTCTGTCGGGGGTCTGCAGATTACAACTTATTCATTCTTCCTCGTACAGAATATTCGATCCGAGTTGAATGGGGAGGCATTCTTCGAGATCGGGCTCCGCAAATGGATTTCGCCCATTTTTGAAAGATTCCCGTAGGAAGGGAATTAGAAATCAACCTCAGCGTTTGGAAGGGGACCATTCCTGGAGCTTCCACATGCAGTCAGGTCGTATAAGCGTTGAAAATCCGGACTGTTTCGGAGTATTTTTTCGATCGTTCATGAGAATCTACTACTCCAGAGTCCAGGCTGGGCAGGGTCCCCAATCTACATGATGTGTGCTCATCACCTTCGACGGGCTCTCTTAAAGATTTCATGTCTGATAATCTCCTGTCGACCTTGGGAAAAAATGGCTCAATTTCAGAATAGATTCGTCCGTGTGACTCTTCACAGCGGCATTTTTCTCGCCCAGCGCCCACTCCTTGAGGGCGATTGGATTCAGAATTCCGCGAGCGTGACATTTCTCCGAAATAAACTTTCCTCTCTATGAGGGTTCCCGACGAAACCATTGGGCGAAAATTCAAGGCCTCCAAGGATTTGACCCCGGACCGGACGGACCGCACTGAACAGAACGTGTCCTGCCGGATCGGAGCTTAACTGATGAGTCATGAAGCCCTCGGATTTTCCAGCGCTGTCCTCACGGATGAATTGAGAGGAAAGAATCTCAGCGACTAGGGAGCTGACTCAGAAAGAAATCCATCGCAGTTGATCGGGATCTTCGGAACCCGATGCGTGGGGAGGATTCGTAGCGATATCGCGAGCCAACGGAAGGGGATCAAGGAAAACTTTCACGGGCCGCTTTTCACATCCTGATCAAGTTCTCCAACCTGCCTCTCGGGACGAAGTCGCGCTCCGATGGGCCGAGCCGCAAGATGGTGCCATGTGGAGGATTCGCCATGCGAGGCGGGCAGGGTGTTTTGGAAAGGGAAGAGCGAGCGCGAATGTTGAACAGCTCCGTGGCTCGTCTATCTTGACCACCTTAGCCTCCTGTCGTTCCGATGAAATCAGTATCAACGGTGAATCAGTCGGGGGGGGGGGTGGGGCGGAATCCACTTAGACTACACACGGAGTCGATAATTATTGTAATCTGACATATGACGCCTTCTTCTAGAATACACAGCTCTCTTGGATCACGGATCATGAAGACGTCGCGCGTCGCATCCGCTGCGCCGGGAGACTTGTGCACAAGCTGCGCGAGAAAAAAATCTTGCCCTTCGTGACGTTCACCGCGTCCCCGTTGTACGCTGCTGGGACAAGAAGGTTAAGAACCTCGGAGTCAAGCTTCCTTGCGGTCAACGCTTTGATGGAATCCCCATTGGGAATTGTGTCGTAATTGGAAGTATCTGAGCGAAGAAGCTAAGTATGTGCCGGGATTCGCGGCTGCCCGGGGATCGATGGAGTCAGAATTACTCGATTGTGTAACTTTTATTCATCAACAAACAGAGTGGGATTATTGGCAAAACGAACGACTTATCCCATCGTGCTCAACACAGAGAGCATCCAACACTATGTACAATACCAGGTCTTCGAGTGAACCCTAATCGTGACGGTCTGTGGATTTGCCTCGGCAAAGAATCCGTACGTCCGATGCCGCGTCCCCAAAACTACACATTGAACAGCGGGTTGGCGGTCTCGGCAAGATTTTGGAAAGTCTACCTAGATCTCAATAAATACAAGACTGGATCCGGAAGCTACAGAGCGATGTCTCGAACACTGTGATTGCTACCGCCCTGATCTGTTCGAGGCAGATAAGTCATTCCGCCAGGTCGATTGAGGTAGTCGAAGGGTCGGGCCGACTGGACCCGACCCAGTGTTATGCCGTGAATGTTCACAGGTCTGCGGTCGTCGCTGAATGAGTCCCCTCTGGAGACTCTCGCCGATGCTTTACTCGCTGCTTCGGCTCTCTGTCGCTTCAAGCGGAGCTGGGCTCTGTCCAAGCTTCTCGTGTAATCATACGACATCATGGCGTCTTCCGACGAAGTCGTGCTTTCAGGAATGTGGTAAATGGGTTTCCACCGTTGGTAAGGGTTCGATGAATGCAACTGCAGGAAGAAGCCGGTTTCAGTTTTCATTCGCTTTCAAATGTTTCATCGATTCGAGAATAGTTCATACATATCTGATTTCTACGGACAGTATCTGAAGGAATTCTGGCAATCGAAAAGCGGCCTACCTCGGAGAACGTTCGGCCAAGGGGTCTGCGAGCCTGCCTGAAAACCTTCACGTCGAACTCAGATCTCGGCAGAGATTGGAACTGAACGTCAGGGTTGCAGAAAAAGTCGGGATCTGGGCGACATTTGCTTTGCAGCTGAATCGGTGGATGGAAAGGAGATATCGACTGAGACGACACTGACGAATGGCTCCGTCGGACAGACGGGGCGTGCCTACGGGGAACAAGACTTTGGAATCACATCCGAAGTTCGAATTTCGCACTCGGATCGAGCGAGAATAATAATGGGCACGACGGTCATGTGGAGTTCGACACTTACCTCGATAGCGACGGATTACCCACATAGGATTGATCAGCGTCCGAATACATGGTTCTCAACGGCGTGATCCGTGGTGTCGAAGACGAGCTCAAGTAAGATGATGGCGTGGGTGTGATCATCGCACCGTTGAGATGCTCTTTCGTGACAGGAGATATCGACGGCATCTTCGAGGGAAATCAAGTTAACGGAAAAGCATATGCACGTCGGACTGGTTTTCATATCTGAAGGGACCGAGCTCTCGCAAACAAAATCGCAGTTCAATTTCCGAATGTTTCGAACTTACGATGTTGAGGTCTTCGAGGCGTTTCATGACTGATTTTTCCTGTCGCCATTGCGTGTATAACGACTGTATACACACAATGCAGATAGCGTTGATCACCAATCGACAGCAGTAGAAAGACAGTTCGGCTACGCCTCTGGAGTTGAGGTTCTGAAAAACGGGGAAGACATGCAGCTGAATGCACTTCACAAACATTGAGATTAGAAAAGAGAACCAATATGATTATCCGGGCAATCATCCACGGCGTTAGGCGGGAAATCGCTCAACGGGCAACCTCTTTTGAAATAATGTTCCCTTTCATTGCACCACGTTTCCGTTCGCTTTGATAAAAGCTCCCCAGAACGTGATAATTCAAAATTGGAAACGTTTCTGGGGATGAAAGCCGCAGCAAAATATTCGGTCGCGGAGTCTGCCGCAATAGTCACGGATTCTCTCTCAAGAAGCACGCGTCCGAAAAATGGAAAACCGAGAAAGTCAATCGATTGAACAATAATTGCTTTTGGTATCAAGAGACGGAGAAAAGGTACGAATCGAATTTCGGACTGAGCACCTGGAAGGCAAAGGAGACGAAGAATACCAGCCGGGCGGGCTATCTACTCCGGGATGACAACAACGGTGCCACGTTCCATTGTATTCAAAACTGAGACGGACCTCGCGCGGCTGATTGCGAAAACTCACATCTTGCCCGCTTGCCATCCCTGCGACAACAGCCCGCGAGAAAAAAGCGCCGAAGACGAAAGTCGGCGGGAATTCGGACTGATGGACCGACGGACGGGCCACACAGTAGTCCGGGTAGGGGACCATCGCTTCGAGGGGAGTACTATGACTCCCTGTGGTATAATCACCCCAGGGATCGGTTGCGTAAGAGGGAAAGCGACGGATGTGGAACATGATAACAATTAGTTCGTCTGAATCGTCATTGTCTGCTCTCGACAGTATTGACTATTGTTTCCGCTTCGACTTGTTTTTTGGTTTTTTCGCTCCAGGTGGGGAAAACCTGCATAACGAAAGGCATGAGCTCATCCCTGGATCCGGATGACAAAGAAATCCAGCGGAATCCATCGCCTGTGTTCCTGCTGTCGTATATTAAAGAACGTTTCAATAACGGGAATTAAGAGGTTGAGCTCACTTACCCAATATTTGAGACTCATGAATAAACTCAGACCACACTCTGGGAAGAAGAACACCACCAAGACGAAGAGCCAGGCCAACAGGTAGGTGGATTTTCGCTGAAACGACAGAACCGAATCCCCTAAATTGAAGCGCAGCATAATCATCAGCCGTACATTCACGCCCCGTAAATGACGGTCTCATTCCAGGGCAATGGGCAAAGCCCCTGGTCTTCAGGACGGCCAGAACGCCGTTGATAAAGGGGTCTGAACGGTATCTCGATAGCTTGAGGCCTCATCTCTCGATTCATGGCTAAACAATTCGAGGCATGGGATTCCGGGCGAGGGGAAGCGGTAGAAAATCTATCTACTGATACATCGAAACTCTCCTGCGATCCTAGTCCAAGGGTTCGCGACTTGATACGAACCAGGAACAATCCGGATAACAGGAACAATGACGCGAGAAATGTGATGAAGTATATCGAGGCCAGGATGTAGGCAGGTGCCGGAAGAAGAACTGAAAAAAGACAGTGATAGTATCAAGCATCTGATTCTATGTTCTTTTCGCATCAAACTTTGAGTCATGCTCCTCCCCGTAAGCATCGCATCATTTTCGAGTTGTTCTCAAGCAAGCAAGCCAGGAAGCGGGAAGAAAATTCGTGCGAAGGACTAGTCTTAAGGGAGTCTCAGGAATCATAGGTTGTTTTTCAATCTGGGAAAAAAGAGCAGGTTCCGATCCGAGGGGCTTCCCCGGGGTGGCGAGCAAGAAGCATTGGTGCTCTGTGCTCTTACACTCCATGCACGAGCCGCAGAAGATCCCCGGCGAGTTCCGGTGTCTTCATAGGGAACTCGCACGCCCCAGACACGATAGAGCTCACGCCGCAGTGAAAAGGTAGGTGTCAGCAAGCTCAAGCGAAGTTTGTGTTGGATTACTAGCTTACCTCCGTACTGCTGATACCAGTTATATATTTCAGGTACTTGAGCCACTGAAAATACGGAATGATCCCGAGCTTAAGGGTTGGTTTTCTCTCTAAGATGTCGGGGCACCTTTTTGCACTCGGTTTTGAGAAAAAGCGAGGAGAAGAAGTCATCGGATTTAGCTAGATCGGAAACTTGCTCTATCGATTCTCTGCTTCGTCCAGCTTTTGTTACTCGCGGGCGAAGTCAGGGGACCCCTCGAGAATCTGACTCGACGAGTCGGAATAGCGGCGATGCCTCGGGAAAATATCACGGGTCTTTTCTGCTCGAGTCCGGGGTATCGTCGGGCAGCGGACTCAGATCGCGGCAAGCTCTTTCATTCCTGCTTGCTTTTCTCGGGAGTGGAAGCCGGTCACCTCCCCGCGAAAGCTTCTGGACGTGAATTGCGACACAAAAGCCTGACGCTCTCACTCGTTAGACAAGCTTTTTCTATGATTTGAACATGACCCTCTCATCGGGACGGATGCCCGTCAGAGTCATGTTCTGGGGAAAAATTACGATAAATTGGTAGTATCCGAACACACTCACTGTCTGCTTCCACGAGCCACCATAACTCCATAACAAAAGCACTGAAGTAGACCACCTGGAAAAAGGAAAAAGTTTAGCAGTGATACCCAGGCAATCGACGGGCATCGGGCTGAAGTCTTCGAGGACCCTGAGCGTCGAACTTCCCCCCGCTTCCTTCGACGACTCGGACGAGAAATTTATCCAGAATTCTCTCGATAATGTTCGGCTTTCAGATTTCAGGGGATGTAATTCCACTTGAGGGAACCGAACTCTGAGTGTTCGTCAGGTGTGGATCGAAAGCTCGGTGGATCAGGTAAGTTTTGGTCGAAACCTGACATCAAGTGAAGCATGAATGTGTTGGAAACAGTGAGTCTCAGTCTCCCGAATCTCACACAGGAGCGCTCCGCAGCCCGTGGGCTCCAGATATCGCGGTCCCGCAGTATCGTCGACTTTCGCAGCAATATAGTCAAATCAGGAGCCTGAGCCCCCGAAAAAAAAATTTGCTCGTGAGTATTCCTGCCCGTTTTATGTAAACTTCAGCCTTATCATAATTTATCCTCTTCATGATTCATCCGTCGAGAAATCTGAGTTTATAATACCAACTTCCTCTTCGGCCAAATCGGATATCAACCATTCTCACGTGTACAATGTGTTATTCTGCTGATATTCCTACCAGTCACACTGTTGCCGGAATGACAAGGATCGCAGCCTCACTCGATCACCGAATGGGACGACCTGCAAGCCACGAGCCAACCTACATAACGGCCTTCATAACTTCCCGATAGCTGAAGGCGAGGACACTCTCCGAATAAACGCCCTAGGCATTCCACCACAAAGCGTTCCGTTGACGTGACGTCGAGCCCTTCGCAACACCCGACCAACGACAATCCGATGGACCCTCGACGAAAGCGTTGGTCGCCCGACGTAATTATGAAATTTTTGTCGTGAAGAAATTCTACTTCACATAAGATGCTTCACTTTCGAAAGCTGGATCCTAAATCCGTTCATTTGTCTTTTCGTTCCGTCAGTCGAATAGTGACATGCAAAGAGCCATAAAGTCGGTAGACCTTCGAGATAAGTTTGGAAGAACATTTTCTCCATCCGAAGCGGTAGAGATAAGATCCGGAACTTCTTTCCATCGCGTACCGTCGAAAACGATCCACTGATAATCGACATGGCTTTATCTCGGACCGACAAAGAATGGCGTCGGCGACTGTGGGAAATCCAGATTGTTTTTCTGCAAATTAACGTCGGAAGCGTCTTACGAGTAATAGCGCGCAATCGAGTCCTGGAGAGGGAATTCAATGCTCGCCGCCTTCGAGATAACCCGCTCAGGCGAGATTCCTGACGAGGAATTTTCAACCATCGAAGCTATCGGCACTGGACATCTTTAGATCAAGATTCTATCCCCAAAGCTGCGGGGGCTTCCCGAGAAACGGAGAAAATTGTATTTTCGTGTTTCCCGCTTAAATCATGTTGAAGACAGAGCTGCCGGATCGACTAAAGATGGTCGAATACTTCGCCTTGAGCGGTCGAATCGAGAGCTGTTCGCGAGGGATTCACTCCTACCGATGAGCATCCCATCGCCGGGGGAACGATATTGAAATGTGAAGGCCATCAGGCTCGATTGTGTAAAACTCATGGTATCATGCGTGTCTCTCCTCGTTGCGAGTAACACCGAAGAAGCCGATAAATTGGCTCGAGCGCCTTCGAGGAGCCAGAGCTAACGATCATTCAGCTAAAAACGGAGACAATATTTCCATACGGCTCCTTTTCGTTCCTCCAGTGCCCCAAGCGACACGCGACAGCAAGTTCTCTCGAGCCGAGCATCCGCAGACGGGAAAGACTTATCGGGCAGGAAACACCTCAAGAAAAAGCAACGGAAGGAAAATTGCGATTTTTACACTCGAAGGATCGTACTTCGCGGTGGTTCTTGGAATCAATGCTAATAGAACTCAGAGATGTGACACTGGGAATCTTCAGCGTCTCCATACTCCAGCATGCGAAGGTCTTCATACTTTCGCGAATGTGCATCTCTGGTAAATCAATTGGATAGTTCGACACTTTCATTTGAAAAACGGGGAGAAGATATTGTTCTCTCGCGACTCTCGACTTATCTTACTTACCGGAGTCGCTATGTACGCCAGGATGCAGGCATTAGCCGCGTATATTTCGCCAATGCGGTCGACATACTCGCTCTTGAAGAATGCCAGACGCACTTTTTTGCTTTTCCACCAAGTTTTCATGGCGGGAGCCAAACCGGCTGCCCGGAGGGCATCCCTATAGACGGACAGATGCATCTCCAAGAATCGACTATGCTTCGAGGGGTCGGGTCAGCTCTACACGGCTTCCTGAACGGCCATCGTGGTCGCGCTCACACACAAACACACGGAGAAAAAACTCGTCAAATATCCGTGTTCACTTCGACGCGTGCTCCGCAGTTATTACTACGGTTGCTGCAGAAGCAACGGCTCCCGTCACTGTCGTACACCCCGAAACACAGCCGGCTGTACGCACCTATGCCGAGCCCTGACACACCAAAGGCCGCAATGTTTTTCAGTCGAGCGAGAAACGACATAAGGGTCGCTGCCGCCACACGACCGCCGCTGATTTGTCCCATGACGCCCCCAGTGAGGAGACTTGCCCTCACTTATCGATGTGGGAGTTCGGTGGGTTGGATGATGGGTTGCTGGCTACAACCAATGATTTGCTTACTAGCCTCGGTGTTATTACATTCGAAGCGACAATAGCCTCCGCGACTGGAAACGTCTCCATGGCAGACCCGGGCCGCGCACCGAAATTCGGTACTACGTGAGATCTTCAGTGCCGCCAGCTCCTCGGAACCTAATTTCCCCACAGTGCGGGGAGAACCGTAATCGTTGCAGTTCTGGACTGTCGAGTAGGGAGTTATCGCATCGCACACGCAATTCAAGTCCCGGACAGAGGATTACAGAAGTACTGCATTCATCGCGGCTTCCGAAAGCTTTTGCTCAGATCATTGTCCTTTTTTCCCATCGGTGGACCGAACCGTTCAGATGCTCCCCGAATCCCAATTTTTGAAGCAATCAGTCACTGCGCGATCCATCAATCTTGAGTCTCTGGGACGTTTCTCGAGCGGACGTAATTACCCGTAATTGATGTTCCATCGCGGGTCAGCTCGAAATACAGAAACAATGGTATGCTTGCCCAAGGAGCGGAGCGCGAAAGCGAAATTCTGGTAACGCTTTCTCTTTCAGACCGTCTTGTCTGTCGGTTAGCGGTGCTCGTTGAAAGAGAACCATGCCAGGTGTCAAGGTCGATGGGGGAGGCTGTCGTCATACGGATAGCCGCTGCGCCCACTTGGGTTAATTCCAGCGTGTGGTAAGCTCATCCGTTGCCATCTCGCCGTGACCACGGTAGAAGTAAAAGGTCTTGAAAAGCGAGCCGCGGCGTTATGGCCGCTACGGCGTCAAGCGAGCGACTCTGGCTCATTGAAATCGATACTCGCTTTTTCGGTCGCACAGTCTCGATTCGAATCCGCTCGTCAAAATTCTCTTTGCCGTATCGTTTAAGTATAGGCGATTCTCTCTACGATTTGTTTCGCGCCGTCCCAAGGAAGATGAAAATGGAATGATATCGTGAAGATCATTTCATCGCTCTATTCATTTTTCGAAACGAAGAGTGTTGAGGACTTCGCCGTATCTTCGGGACTCGAGACGGACGGACGGACGGGCTCCCCAGAGCCTCGGGTTCAAATAAGTTATCGGATCCAACCGGACGTTTCCAAATATTTTGGAAAGTTGAAGGATAGACGATTGATAGCTCTGACAAATGAGACTGTGAGAGAAGACGCAACACTTGATCGCGCGCTTGGAAGGATATAAACCTATGGTATCGCAGACTTCGGGCTCAATTCCGTAAGATTTCGAAGTTCTCTGCCGATCTTTCTTCCATCCCAAGGTGATGGGAATCATCTCCTATACCAAGCGCCGCGCCGCGTCCGCGGACCGTCTTCGTCAGCTTTCTCGTCGGTGGTCAGCTTGGCTGCGTCGTTCCCCACCCTAACAATCAGCCGGATAGTCGGCAGTAATTCGTTCAGAATTGCGAAACATTCGGTGTGTTCGCCAGAAAATCCCATAGAAGTTGTCACCGGCTTTGTTATCTTACGCTATTCCTGCCGTCGCATTGAACGCTATTACAACGACAAAGCTGTGCGGATTCAATGTCGCGGGACTCTGTTCATTCGTCGGCCCGCCCGCCCGCCGCCGCACGTCCGTCTGCCCGTCTGTCTGTCTGCCTGCCTGTCCATCTGTCACTCAGCAGTCGCTGCGAGCGATCATTCAGAGCTTCCCGTCCGCGTGAAACCATCTCCAGTCATTGCTAGCAGCCAACGCATCGGAGCGTATCCGACACTCCGAGAGATCCGACACGTTGCGGGCAAGGTGAACGGAGATCGGGCTTTCTGTTTCCGATAGGATCGCGAGCGGATGAGAGGGCGGTCACGGAAAAAACATGAGAGAGGAAATCGAGACTAGCCCCGTGACTGACCATAACAGCCAACAACACTGTCAGGAGTAGCGACGACATCAACGGCTCAGGTCTCGTAAGCGACATGTCTGAGTAGGCCTTGTGGCTGAATGAACCGTAGAATCACGCTAATGCAGAAAAACCGGAGGCCAGCTATTCACATGGAAAACGGGCAAGTTTCCATAGAAATCCAGAGCCGAGGTGAGCCCGGCAAACGGGCTTTCTATGGGGCTTTCACCGAAACAGAAAAGGAGGTATTCCCTCATTTCCGACCGAATCATCAGAAAAAAATCTCCCAGCTACCGCATAGTTGCATTTCCTGACGTGCTCGGTCAATCATTCAGCCATGCTCTGAGTCAGTCAGTCAGTCAGTCAGTCAGTCGGTCCGACCATCCGTCTGCTGCTTGTCCTCTGATTTGACGCGTCTTCCGCATACTTCCGCTCAACCTTTGTTCGCCAGGGTGAGAGAAAAATCGCTATGGTACAACAAACGATTGTCCTCGATTGCACTCAAGGTCCAGACATAATCTGTTGATGCTGGAATTACACGAGGATTGCGCTAGCATCGATTTTTCAGAGCCTCAATCATTTTCGTCCGGGAACGTGGAAGCAAAGGTTTTGTTCTTTCATGTGTCGCTCCCACGGTCGCTCGGCGTTTTCTATTCCTAAGGTTCTCGCGTTGTTGTCCGAAAACTGTGTTTTCGAAAAATCTTCCAGACCTTTCGGTAGTGTCTATCCTAAGTGAAGTTTTGTGGAACATTTTTGTCGGTAGCGCATCAATCCGTCGATGTGGCATCCAGCCTTGAGCCGAGTGGCCAGGTTCCATCAAAAAAATACCACTCTATCCCGTGTGGAAGGTCGATCCGATGTTCTGGGTGTTTGATTTCGTGGCTGATTGAGATTTTTAGTCGAGCTCGTCAAGCCGAGCTCCCGGATCGTCGCACGAGAAGTTCTTCGCAAAGCTTCGTCCGAAGTTTTTCAGATCAAGACTCTCAAGAATCGTCATGCTCGGGGGGTAGACGCACTTCCGCCGGGAGAGGCCATCTTCGATTTGCCGAGAAATCATTGTGAATTGAGACAGAAGGAATCTGTCTCCGGGGCTGTACGGTAGTCATACAGCCGGAAAACTCGAATACGAGTGTATTGCCTCACTTGTTAGCTATGCGAAACATCCTCACTGATGATTATGCAGGAGCAGCCTAATCTATTGAGATAAAATACACGTCCTGCGGATTCATTTGGTAACTTCCCTCCCATTCGTATGGCACCAGTTTCGTTCTCACTCGGTTTCGCTTGTTTGTCGGGGTAGCTCGGAAAAAAACACTCAGGGAGGAAATGATGTTCCGGCCGAGTGGATGCGGAATCCTCCTACTTGTATTTTTGACTCGGCTGTATTGTCCGGTAATGATATTGCTGTAATGACGACGGCAAGACCAATGGTGACTCCGGCTGGGAAGAAATGCGCCGCTGTGATGATGATATCATAAAGTTTATGTCTACATTGTTGCATTCGACAAAGAGGTGGACGGAGGACCGGAAAGTCTATCATCGCTCATCCGCTCTTGAATCGATCGATGAATCGAATAGTATCGTGAACGGTCAATCTTCCATGAGCTCCGAATGCTCACCGAATCGCACATTGTAGGAGTCTCTATTCGAGAGCCGCTACGAATAAGATCCGCGCGGAGCAAGTTAGTGCCGATCCGGTCCCGGTTAGAATCCCTAAAGGGACAGAGTAGCGTGTCAGACCGGAATTCTGATTCGCTCGGCAGCGTCTCGTCGATCAGCTTTCGTAGCTTCTAACAATTCTTCAGTTTTCCCCGTAGGGTTTCTCAGCCTGAACAGAAGAGAATGGCTGCGCATCTTGACTTTTGTAGAAAATAAGTCCACGAGGCGGATGAGCTTCGGTTGATTGCAATTAATTGTTCAGCAACGGGATGGCCCCAAATCATGAGGGCACAATCGCCCTTATATCGCGATGCTGTAAATACAGACCAAGAAGTGAAACAATGTGGTGATCAGGTCAACGGGGTCGTCGCTTGAGTAGTCGTAAACATGGGCGTCCGTCCCTTGCCCCTAAGTCATCTTTCCATCTTTCGATTTTATTGTGAGAGGTGCTCGCGGGCAAGAGACGCGTGCGAGAAAGGACGTGATTCGCTCGTCTTGTCTATGCCAACAAGTGATGAATACCGCCAGTCGGGTGTCAAAACAACGAATCGAATGACCAGCAGCCCGCATCCTGTTGCCATAGAAAAGACACGGAATACGCCCCGTAATAGTCATCAGTTCCTTGTGATCGAGTAAAGATTAGTGGTACGCACAGATTGGAGCATCCCAGGCCGAAGAAGAAAGAATAAGACACATGGCTGACTGCCGATCGTCTCAAACCCCCATCAACATTGACCTTTCGAGAACCCGGGGAACTCCAAATCAAATAAAATTCAGACGAGCGCGACAGTCTACTCCACATTGATTCTGAGATATCGGTATGCTCAAACGAATAAAGCGAACGCTTCGTCCCAACCGAAGCTCGCTGCCTCATCGTACGCATAATCTCAGGAGTTCCCTCGTTGGGATTTCGGTACACTGATGATCCGGTTGGGAAAACTCAAATTAATTCGGGGAAATTTGGGGCAAGGGACGGAGATCCTGATTGAATTGAGGAAATTTCCTCTGGAGCATAATGGCTCTTCGGATAGATAGAGTCCTCCCATCTCTCATTCGAGGAAGCCGAACCGCGGTCCTGTCATCGTTCCTAGAATGTCGAGGAAGGAGCTTTTGTGTATTTTTTGGA